AAACTTTCTCCAAACAGATCTGGTGGCGAAAAGTCAAGAGTCTTCAACCAATGAGCTATCCCCTTTTGTGCATTCGCGTAATTCGTTTTGAAATGTTCATAAATCTGCACTAATATTTCTATCAAAACTAGACATTGTTAAACTACATGAATAAACGCTTGATTACCTAATTGTTGGAGAAAGTCACTTTTGTTCGAAATGACATTCTATTCTTCACATTATTGTCAGTTTATATAACAGCGCCAACGGCATTTGCAAGTTCTAGTTATGTAAAATCAAGTATATGAAGCTGGGTGGGAGTTTAGGGGGGGGGGGCGTTGGGTTGAACGAGCTCAATAAGGGATGAGGAGATAGGGAATAGAATACGAGGTCAGGAATTCCCAAATTCAAGAATGTGGCCATATTCTTTTTAGGAGCATAGTTTACCTTGTAATGTCGTGTTTAAAGCCAGGTACTGGACTATATCATTAACTTGCAGAAATTTTTGATCCGTTGATTTACTTCCGCAATTGCTCATATTACTTTACTTTAATCATATCTGCCTACAGTCAGTGACACGTAGAGGGTGGGGGGGGGGGGGGGTTAAGGGCAAACAATAACCCTTTAAATTAGCAGCTCTCATCAAAATTGTCATGATCGTTAAATCCAATTTTATGAAAAACTCTTCATATATATCGACATTTCTCCCCATCACCAGAATTGTTATTATTAGTTTAACTGCCAATGACAATTCGTTCACTTGATTTTATTTCTTTTTGAAGTCTACCGAGGGCGTTTATTTGGCATGAAATCATTTCAAAGCTAAGTATCCATCTATTTATTGTTTTTTTTTATTTTTTCTTTCATAAAAGCGGTCAAATCAATTATTTGCTGTGTTCATCATTTCTCCTTATAGGTGCCAACAGTCAGAAGTGAAGAGAGGACTAAAATTACTTCCTTTACTGTAAAGGACTCAAGCAAATTGTGATGGGTATTTATTACAGTCACGACAAAGAAAGAATCCATGATTTCTGTTTGCTTCAGTCTTTAAAATTGACTCAATCAGAGTTTACAGGCATAGAGTAATTTAAAGGGACTGGCGAAACTTTCATACAGGTAAATTTATCCGTACTTTCAAGAGAAATATCCTAGCGACATGTTATTTAACTGTCCTGTAGTGAAGATATATTCACAATACCATCAAAATACCTATAAATTGTCAAAGGTCAGGTCATCGAAACGCAAAGGCGGACATTCCATAACGGCGGAGAAGACAAACAAGATATACTCACCCCTCAAATATCGCGTGAAAGCCTTTGTAGTAAAAAGAAATTTCAGCAATCTAGATTCACGCCAACGATTGTTCTAAATGTTAAAACCTCTGCTTGGTAATTATATTTTTATGTGTAGAGTCTCAAAATAAATATTGAATCGTCTCTAGCAAAAGAATTTTTAAATTGCGTTTATTGAATATTAGCTTGATTTCCGTCAGTAATTCAACATTTATAATTTCCAATGTGTTGACATTTTGAAAGTCTTTTTTTGGCGATACAATTTGTCGTTTAAAGTGCAAATTGCACATACACTGTTGCACATTCTTCATTTCCCTCTGCCATGCCGCAGCAGAATTTTATCGATTTCTCTTTTTATGAAATTAATGCAAAAATTACGCCTACTTGTTTCAGTAATGCTAGCAAATGTACCCATGGCGTTTCTAGATTTCGTTTAAATAGAATTTGTGTACTCTACCAATGTGAATGGGGGGTATGTCTCAATGCACACTTAATAAAGCCAAGCTAACGACAATATGGTGGTGATTTCTTGAGTCACAGTCACTTATCAGATATTAAACATTTTTGTGCTAATTTGTGCTTTATTTCGATATCCAGTTTCAAGTTCTTTAAGGAAGAATCAATCACATAAATGGATACAAAGATTTTGAAAGTCAGTCAATGGTTCTTTTGAGTAAAAGACCCTTATATCGTGATTGAGGTGTAATTTATCGCAAGATGTCAGGTACAGGATAAGTACAATAAAATGACAAAAAGACCGCTATGACATGTTTACATCTCTAATGGTATGTTTGCTTTAGTTCTCTGAAATCACTTAATTATATGACGATGCTCAATGACATAAAGCAACGTTTGGTTCAGCTCTTTTTTCTGATTAACTTAAATAATAAATATATTTTTGAAGGATCTACAATAATTATGTTCTTAAAACTTCAACTGGCAAGTTTCCAGTAAAATTTCAGTTTTCCCGGTAAATCCACGATATAATTACCATTCTAATCAGTACCACGGTACATATTAGTAGACCCTAGATCCAAAACCGAATCTAATTTGCAAGATTAAATTTATTCTCACTTCAAATTCAATAATTATTTTCTTCCCTGTGTTCCTTCGGGATTTTACCTAAAGGATTTTGCAAATATGACTCCTGAATTTCTTGTGCCTATTTCCAGAACAATCCTAACTGATTTATGCTTCGGAATAACCCATTGACAGCTGTTCAATTAATTATATTAATTGAGCTATGAATTTTGAAGAACATAATTTTAAGATTATGAGAATAAGGCTTTAGAGATTTTGAGTGGCTTGACTTGATTCAAGTCCAACCCCTAAAGTGATGTCTACTAAGATAGGGCACTTTACTGGCTTAAAACACACAAGTATATTCCGATGGAATCGTCCAATTTCAGTTTATCGCAAAAGCGTTCAGATCATTGAGAAGCAGAAATGCTCTCACCAGTGATTACTTAGCCATCCCAAAAGAAAGTACCTAGCTATCTTATTGTACAATTACGAAATGTAATGCTTATTATTATACCGCTTCACGTAATCATTTTAATTATTACTATATCAAATAGCAGGCTTTTTGATGGTTATCATTAGCCCTTTAGTTGACTTCAGGCTTCACAGAGGGAAAGAACATCAAAGTAAAAAAATAGTCAAGAGGGAGGGGGGGGGGAACAGAAGAATGTTTCAAAGATGTAAAAGAGACAGACACAATAGTAGAAAAAAAGGTGAGGTAAGTACTGGGGACGAAGTCGAATATGACATACAGTGGTGTGATGGTAGTTTGAAGTGAGAAGTCAACTGCCAGTTAATAAACTTTTTTGCCGTATGAGTATACGTTGCCCAGGGTGCACCACGTGGAGGTAAGTCTATCGCACACCCCTCATTTTAATTATCAGTGTTAGTATCTAATATGCAGAATGTAGAAAAATTCTAAGTGCTGCTAATTTTAATAAATAAAAAGGATGAGAAATGGAAAATTGATGACTTTGAACTGGAAAAAAACCAATAGTCTTCCGGTGCTCGAGTAGAGATTGGCTGACTTTCGTCCATAAAATTTAATAAAGTTCAATTAAATTGGTTATTGTGAAATTGTTTTGAGGCAAACTGCTCTGGTTGCAGCTTATATACTGTGGACGGGGCCACGGGGAAGAAGGAATCCAGATCTGATCAGAAAAACCACTTCACCTTACAGATTAAATAATTTAGTCTGCAAGCCAAAAAAGGTTCTTCAGACGACTTTAGTGGGTTCGAATCTTCGGCACCACTTGGTGATGTTTGGTGGCTATGTGCGTTTATTCTTGTGCACATATATCACAGTGTGGGATGTTGCTGCAGACACATATTTGGTCCTGTTCATCGATTACCAATGGACGTCTACACATTTGAATGTTTCCTATTGTAGTCATGCTAAGATTGACCAAACTAGCACGGTTGGCTTTCAGCACTCATTTAGTCCCAGAAATTCAGAAAGGTAAGGTTGTACAAATGTGATCGAGATGTAAAAATACGGCAATGATCTCAAAGTAATTTACTTGAAAAGATTTCTCTCACTTAAGAAATAATAAATAATATTACCAGTAAGTATTTTCTGGCTTAATTTCAAATGATCAAATCTGTTTGCTGTATGATGCTAATTAACTTACTAGGATAAATTTTCTTAACACCATAATTGAGAGAATTACTTCACATCAGATTTTGCAGGAATTGCTCAGAAAAGAACCAAATTAAGATGCCTAGAATGTTATCTGATGATTCAAATATCTTCATTTTTGCTTGTTTCAGAATTACTCCTAGTATTGGAATCCACCTTTTACTATGTCCAAATATCTAAGTATCGACTTGACCGTAGCAAATATTTACACACAATTACAATTACACTTAAGCAAGTATTTGAAATGATTCTATGGATTTGTACATTGATGTAGCGTAGTATATGTATTTAACGGAGTGGATTAGCAACGCAACAAGGCCAAATACTCTGATTCGCTTTCAAAATTTCTTAAATGCACTGAATTTACTTCATATTGTAGTTGATTAAATATAAATTCAATTTTGAATATGTTTTCGTATATCATTTTTTTATTGGATAACCACTCGATAACAATAAAATAAACTAAGCTTGAATGCAGAAAGCTCGCAATAAATTATAAGTCTAAATCCAAAGTGCGTGTTTTTTTCTCAGGTAACCGATGCTGCCAAAAAATGATTTCATATGCATACGTTTGCTATTAAAATTAATCTCATTTTTTTCAAATAAGAATTTAGACAAGTGAGCAAGGTTGCGTGCTACCAAAATTGCACTTTTAAACCTAGTACGAGAAATAAAGCGAAATGTAATACAAATCGGCTTCTGTCGTTTTAATTACGATTTTAAATGGTAAATGCATTTTCTCATGAAACAAGTTAGAAATATTCATAACGAGGTATCATATTACATTGAATAGAATATTAATATATCTTTTTATCAATGTTAAAGTATTTTTTAGAAATTTTTGCATAATGAAAGTATTTTAAATTCGTGACAATTTTTGTTTTTTCGTATCAGTTCATATTCATTAGCCTAGAAAATAAATCAAACTAGTTAGTGGGCCCCTTGCACGTCCAGCAATATTCCATAGGTTACGTTTTTAATACATAAAAGGTTCAAAGTATTTATTACCCGACCCTTCGAATAAATCTATCCTTGATTTTTACTTAGCCTACTTCAAAATTTTCCTTAAAATGTCATCTGCAGAATCTGACTTGATTAAAGAAATCGATAAGCTTGATGAGGAAGAAAAGTTTCAAGAAATTTATGATAAACTTACTCTCTCTATTGATAAATTCGATGGACTGTCGTTGGAACTTATGTGGAGGCTGGCAAGAGCTTGTCGTTATCTTGGTTAATTCGGAATTTTTACTCATTTCATAATTCTTTTAGTTTTAACCAAAGGCCGCGATGACAGTAAATCTAAAGAAAAGTGGATCCAAACAGGATTAGATGTAATGAAGTCGGCATTGGACAAATATCCAAATGAATGCCTTAGCAATACTGTAAATTTCATTTTTTTTGTTTGTATTTTCATCTTTTTTAGTGGTATGGAATCATGTTAAACGTTAAAAGCGCCGAAGAAGGTATTAAAAACAGGATCATGTTGGGAGAACAGATTCGAACATACTTTGATGTAAGCATCTCCGACCTTACTTACCAAATCACTCTTTAGAAAGGGTATGCGGCTAATAAGCACGATTATATCACTCTTCATTGCCTTGGATCTTGGTGTTATGAAGTATCGTCGTTGAATAGATTGCAAAGAATTTTTGCGAGGACTTTCTTTGGTGAACTTCCAGAGTCAAGCTATGATGAAGCTTTACGGTTCTTCTTAGAAGCTGAACAAGGTACTAGCATGCTTTATTAATGATATCTCTAATTTAGCCGAACCTGGCCATATATTCACTCTTTGTCGAATCGCTCAGTGCTATGAAAAACTAGGTCATGTTCAAGAAGCCAAAGATTGGGCATCAAAAGCCATCAAACTTCATGCTCCGGATTTAGAAATTAAGGAGGCTCAAAAGGACTGTTGCCGAATTGCTGCAAAGTAGATTCCTGCTTCACATGTCGTGTCTTTCGTCGCATTCCCGTCTATTTCAAATTGTGATTCCCTTATAAACTACTTTTACTTAAATGTGCTTTTATATTTCGCTGAACTTTAGGTATCATAAAATGTGTTTTGACAGGTTGGGTACTAGAGGGGGGGGGGGTGATGTTAAAGCCGATAACCTTTGTTGTTAAGGAGAGAGATGAGGCATGATGTTTCTCTTTATTAGATAATTTTGAGTAGTAAGGAGTTATTACAGTGAATTCCAGCATTCCCTTTATTTTCGTGTCTTTTAAGCTTAGATCTCGGTCACATCCAGTTTGTTGTTGTCATTAGGTCCCTTGAAAGACAATAAATTTCAACAGTATACTAGGCTTAAAGTTGCCTTGACCTCTGAGATACCACAATGCAAATAAATTTTACTTTATTCGAAGTGCTAGAAGCTCATATTTAATAGCATAGAAGAAAATATCAACAGAAAATGTTTCATTTCAAGTATTTTGTGGAAAGAATCAATCGAACATGATGTGCTGATAACATATTATTAATAAATAACTTTCTTTGATCTAGTCATGATTGGCGGCAACTAACTCCAAGTTTAATTATGCAAACTGGCTGTTAAGCGTCATGAAATCACAACAACGTTTTATAATATCCACAAAAAACTCGACTTAGATGTTGCCAATGTCTATACCGGCATCAACTCCTTCATATGCGTAAAACTCACAAGAAACCAGCGCGTATTTTGTTGGCATTACGGCACATGTTAAACCTAATTATCCTGATTTTAGCTCTATCTAAAAATTATGTCGAATACACGTGATGATGCCATTTACCTCAGATTTTTATTTCCCAGTTGTGGAAATAGATTCCACTCCTCTGAGAAAATAATAAAAATGTGGGTTCAAAATTTTCACTTTATCCGCCAAAATTATGTACTAGTATCATACATCTAGCTTACAATATTTAAGCAAAGTGAACTTCTGCATAATTTAGACGTACATGTTTCTCATCGATTGCTATGTAGGTAGATGCACAATTGGGTTCTTACATTCTAGTCGTGATAATTAAGAGTTTTTTCCCAATGAAATGTCCTTTTATTTGACAACACATTTAAAAAATCTGTGTATTCATTTTTAATTTTTCCCTATATTTAAATTTCATGTAGTTGCCAAATCAGGCAACAATTAGTGTTTAACAATAAACGATGTAGACGGGTAAGTGCATATGGGGTCACCAGTTAGTTGGTGCTATGGTAATAGAAAAGATTTCCACTAAATAGAGCGTTACCAAACTGTGGAAACTACTGAGCACAAACTAAATTGTAGTAGTCAATGCTGTAGTTGGCAGCTGACTACGACAATTAGCAGTTTAGAATATTATTATTATTGTAACAAATGGCAGGCGTTTTGATTGATATAATTAGCCCTTTAGATGACTTCAGTCTTCACAGAGGGGAAGGAACATCAAAGTGA